TTAATAGAGCAATAACCTACTTAAACTACAGTACTGCTGCTTTGTCTTTCTGCAGTGTCTGAAAAAATGCACCAGTCCAAAAGAGATGGAGCATGAACAGGAAATAATGTGACCTGCCCACGTTCACCTAGTAATCAGATGCACCAGAAACTTTAAATCAGATCTCCTCAGACCTTTTAAAGGATGACTTTTGCATATCTTTTTTTCTGCTCAGCTCAGACTAAAAATTCTTTTTTTTTTCCTTATCAAAAGCTAAGTGAAAAAATAAAGACATACTTCCTCCCCCTCTGCCCCCCAAAATTTCTGCAGTCTTGCTACAAGCAAAATAGGCATTGTACATACTTAAAAAAAATAACTGGAAAGCACCTAGAATAAGAAACCATGGGACCCTCCAAGAAGTTGTTAAGGAAGACACAATGTGAATCAACTGGCTAATGGATGAATCTTCCCAAATTCATGAAATAATAAACAGTGCCAGAATAACCCTCTACCATTTTATGCAACAGGATTATTCAGCTGTTTGTTTATTAAACAATATAAGGACTGCAAGCATTTCTGCCACAGGATCCAGTCCAAGTTTCACTAACTTTGATAGCTCTGGATCCAGTCCATGATAAATATCCAGTGTAAACTCAATCCTGTAAACAAATGTCCACATAGATTCAACTCTACAAATATTTAAACAGATATTTTACTATTATTATTTTGATAGCATATTACATACGCATATGAATCTTTCCAGCCCATCAATTCCAAGCTGCTGAGGTAGGCATGGCTTAGCAGACCATTAGCTACAGAATGCATCAAAGACCACGTCAATCAATTCCTACAGTCTGGCCTGGCTGGGCTTCTCACCAGCACTGCTGGAGTGGGTGGCAGAGTCAAGGAGGCAGCAGCACTAGCAGGTAGGAGAAAGAAAAGCTGAGATAAGAGGAACAAAGTGACAGTGGGAGTAGCAAAACCCATACCAAAAAAAAAAAAAAAAAAAAAAAGTCAGGAACTCTGTCACAGCCCACCACTTCAGCAAGGAGACACTGCCTTTTGAACCCTCCACTGGCACATAGCATCTCTGCTGCATCGAACACAAACTGCCTGCCTCCACCCCCAAGAGCCTTCCTGCAGTCCTCATGTGACCCATCATCTCCTCTACCACTGCAGTGAGGTTCACATCTCCCAAGAGTTATTAGCTGGTCACAGCCACTGCCAGATTTTAAAACTAGTATACTTGTGCTCTTTCAAACTGCTTACTCCTTCAATGAGTATTGCAGCTCAGAGATAATCCCCGAGACACATTAATTTTTCATTTTCAGACTATTCCTTAAAACTATTTTTGCCATTATGCCTACATAAAATGAGCACGCACACATACAAGTCTTTACAATACTTTGGCAGTGCAAACAGTATTGACACGTGACAATATGGTTCCCCAGTACTCTCTCAGCCTTGTGGTTTGGGGTTTTTGGTTTGTCTTTGACTGCCAGTTCTCTGCTGCAGGGTTCATCTTTTGCGGTAGGTATTGCGGAAACCCAAAACAATTGATTCTGGTTCATACCCAAGACTCTGAGGTAATATTATAATAAAAATTAATGAGAAAGGGATGCAGTTCTGGCTATGGATTGATTCTGTGGTCTTTGTTCCACATAGCAGGACCCCAGGAGTAAAAACTGCAAATAATACTCTTTGTTTCAGAATTATCTTGCTCATTCCAATGTACTACTGTTCTTGTTACACCTATGGTAATTATGGTAAGACCTATCAGTCCACCTCTGCCTTCAGCTTTAAAGGTGGTGCAATTTTGAAAAACCAAAAGCATTTAGCCCTTTCCTGAGACTTTGTTTACAGCTAGACAATTTAGCCTTAAGAGTGACTTCATCTTTATTGTTTCTGCATGCTTTGATTACGTTATAACTAGGGAATAAAGTCATGTCACATTTGGAAACTATTCTTTAAAGGTAAGAGGGTCCTGAACATCAGGACTGACAAAGCAAAGGTAACTTGAGCATACTGCATTCTTTCCTTCATCTAAGGTGACAAGTTACAAAAAAGTTACTGGTTTACAACAGTATATAGCCCTTGTTATCAAATTCCAACAAATCTCACATGCCCTAAGCCTTCAAAAAAAACCCAAACCACCAAAAAAAACCCGACACCCTCGGGAAGTCATTAGTTTCAAATAAAGGGAAGACGTGTCCAAGCACCTCAAAATAACCTACAGCACCAGCATACAGCAATGCCACCTCTGAATTATATGCAGGACAGAACTAAGTACTACTGAAGCAAAACAGCTCCTTTACAATCTCTTTCCTTGGGGACTGTCTTTCATGCAGTTCTATGTATTTAGCTCTGGGATGAAAGACAGTGGCTGCTGTCTTGTTTCCCCCAGGAGCTAGTTGCTTCTCTGTCTTCATGTACTGTATGGAAAGGTAAGTACAGTAACTTCCTCCCAGGCATAAAGGCAAAACCCCCCACCAAATCAAGGCCTTAAACACTTACTTTCCAACGCCATCAAAAATTAATGACAAAAAAAAAAGTCACCTATATTCATAACAGTCTTGTTAAATTAATTCATACAGTAAGGGAATAGTCTCCCCATGAAGAAAGTAATGTTTTATATTTCAATAGTTTGAGTACAAATGTCATTTGGCAAGAGGCAAAAATCAAGTGATTTTCCAGCTATTTAAACACAAAGCACAGCTCCAAGCTAATTAATGCCGTACCAGACTAGCCAAACTCTAATAAATTTGTACAGTAAAGAGTGGAAAGGGCTTACGTAAAAACCATCACTGAGCTAATAATATATGAACCTGCACTCTACAGTGAAGCTCTACATGGGAAACAGAACAAAATAACCCACCTTGCAGTTTTATACAAATAGACAGAAGCCCCTTTCAAGTGGAACAAGGACGTAGCTCTACTTGCACACCAAGACTGACTTCTGTAAATCCCACAGTGCTAATGGCACAAGAAAATAAGACTGTCCAAGTTGAAACATACACAGAAATGGAGGATGTGTTCATTGAAAAAGGTAAGGAATAAAGTTCCACAGAACAAAAAGAAATCCCAAAGCCTATCTTTAAAATAAACTTATACTCTTGTACTGTCATTCATTTTGACTGACTGATTTATAACTGGTATTATTCTTCTCTACGATGCCAAAATAAACCAATCTTATAGGTTGCAGAATTTATTTCTGCCTTCGGTTCTTCCTTTTCAAAAGCTGGTTCTGACTGGCAGCAAAAATACCGTGCAAATCGACATCAACATCAATGATACTTGCTTCTTGATGAGCACACCAATCAAATGAGCACAATTATTTATACCGCTACTGAGAACAAAATGCACAAACACTGCTTTTAAACAGACTTTGATTAATATTGGTCTTTCCTCCCAGAAATTGATTTTCTCCACCAATTAAATATTGTCCTGACAAGTAACAGTTCTAACTCTGCCCTGGAATTCAACACATTGATCTTAAGATCAGTCTCCTCTCCCTTTCACCAAACCTATGGTCCTAAACCCCCAAAATCCTTACTTACATGGACAATCCCACCACTTCGATTTTCTTTTTTTTGAGCATTTGTGTTGTCTCCCATTCTCCTTTTTATGCAAGGAGGATTATCAAGAACACCCTGTTCTCAAAACTTCTCCTTAAAAAGCTTTCCTCTGCTACGATACCTAAAGACAACAACTCAATGGTGGCTGAACACCTGCTGTGCAAAGACGTGCTCCTCTTTCAGGAACCTTATTCAGCATTACCATTTTCTTCTTCTCTCCCCACATTAGCCTTGTTCTGATCCTCCCATTACATCCTGATATCGCAAGTTTTCTCATTCAGTGCCAAAAATTAAAATCAAATAAATTACACCCTCTATTACAACTCTAAATGGGCTGTCCAGTGGCTACAGATCCATGCTTTACAGCTTTGCCCATGGCACAATGGGGTCATATGCAGGATGGAAGCAACAATGAAAAAAATTGTTCCAACTTTATTTTCTCTGAACACTGTCAAGCACCTGCATTTAAACTTTACACATAAGAAACAACTCAGTTATGGCCATGAGGTAGTTAATGCTTTCAGACCTTATACATTCTGACGTTTTATACTAGGAGCTATTGCCTACACATAAAAAAAGAAACCCACTGCAAGCCACAAGAACTTTATGTCGGAAAATCTACTTCAGCTATTTGTAAAACTTGCAAAAGTTATTATTAATATCCTAGGCCTAATATTCAAATTGATTAATGCCAACAACTTCTTTTGCCAAAAAAACTATCACTGAAGGAGTGATAAATTCAGTATCGATGGACAAATTAGTAACTGTCAACTTCGATGTTTGACAGTGTCCAGGACCCATCGGTTCTGACCAAATCACTGGTAATGCTTTATACTGCAAGTACACGAGCCTTATTTAAAAACAATGTAAAGATGCCAATGGACTGCGGAACAGATAAAAGGAAATGCTACAGGAGAGAAAAGTTTACAGCCTACCCCAGCTGAACCATGGCTACAACATTACTCTTAACAGGTTGCCTATGTTTATGCCACTCCATGAGAACAGAGTATTTTACTTAAAGCTTATTCACTTGCTGGGAAGAGTTGGAGTTCTTCACTAGGTACAGACAGACTCTAAAAATATCCACCAGAACTGAATTTCATGTAGGTTTCATCAGCACCATGGACCTGGTCAAGTTTCACTGACTAAACTCTCATTGGCATTTTTAAATATGCAAGTTCAAAAGAAGCAGCAGATGCAATCTTCAAGATCTAGGACTATCAACACTAGAAAGTGAAAGGTCAGACACCTTCAACAAGAGACAAATAAGTAGCAAGGCAACAATATTTCATGACACAATTTAAGATATTCACAGTTCTAGTTATACCATTGAAGATCCTTTCTCTATCAATAAGAACAACAATCCCATTACCTATTCGCAGAAGACTTAACAGAAACAAACACTGACTCAAACATAACTTTACACCTCCAAATCTTACTGCTGACCTTCTACTAGCTGGTCCAAGGAGGAAATCTTCTTGGAGCCATCAATTGTGTAGATTGTTCTCACTCCCTGGGGCAGATTCACATTGTCAGACAGAGTTCGGGTCAGATCAGCCAGGAGAGCCTCAAAGGACCTAAACCGGTCAGGGGAGATGGCATATACAATCCCTTTGAAATACCGGTCTCCATTACGATAGAAACGAACTTTCTTGGCTTTTTTCTCAGAACTCAGGGTCTGTAGAGTACGGGTTCGGTAAAAGCTGCAGTGGGCACTGTGAGTGGGGCTGGGCAAACCATTTACCCGGGACCCTCTGCCATATCGCTGCGCTTTGTCACGCTCGTCAAAATGCTCCAGCTCCATATCTCTCCCAAAGGACATCTTGAAGTTCAACCTAAAGGATGCACAAGAGAAGAGAAAAAGTTTAAGAAACTTACATATTGTAAGAGAGCTCACTTTGAGACTTCACATTCTACACATGGCACTTACAGAGGACTACTTTCCAGGTTCAGAAAAATGTTTGAATGAAACCATTCTTCATTCACATGCTCATTTTACAGCTAACTCTCTTGCCATGCCATAAAACCTAGTTAATTAGACTTTTATACACCATAGAAATGCCACTCATGGAACCAACTGCTAGCAATATGCAAACATCAAAAAGCGTTTGTTCAAATTCAGTAAGAAGCCTGAAAAAGAGGTGACAGAGTCGAGCCACTGGGAAAAAAAAAAAAAAGAACAAATGTATCAACTTTCTATGTTTTCTCATGTTATATTGAGGTACAATTTGAGTCCACTCTACCCTCTAGATTGTTTGCCCCGACTAAACTCTTTGTTCCAACTGTGATCTCAAGAGGTGCCATTTCAGAAGGGCAACCAGTCGCCAACAAGTATGCAATTAGGAACTTCTCAGAGGAATAGATGTCGCAGGTTGGTGATGAGAATCAGGACTACCACTTAGTGGGTCAAGCCCACTGT